GTAGGACCAGCTGAATGCCGCTCATGATTTACAATAAAATATAAGGAGGGAGAGCCAGTTTGGTGCAGTGCTTAAGCCATCAGAATAGAAACCAGGAGATCTGTGAGTTCTAGTCTGACCTTAAACAAAAAGCCAGCTGGGTGATGTTGGGCCATTCATTTTCTCTCAGCTCTAGGAAGGAAGCACATTATCACCTGGCCTTTACTTGCAGAGAGCAGAATTATCAACTCAGTGGGATGTTTGGGTCTTGGTCAATCAGAAGATATCTAGCATGTCCATGTCTAGGAAAGGATGAATTTCTCTCTAGCTTGGCTTTATTTTCTAGCTGTGATGTCACCACTTTTTCAGTAATAGCTAGAAGTGAAAAAGAAAAGAAGACAGAGAAATACAAGCATCCACTCCTAGATACAGAACAATCTAAAAAAGAAAACCTAACTAACAAAATAAAGCTACACAAAATGATTCAGAATGAATTGAAGGGACTCCTTAATGATTTTTTTTGAGTGAACTGAAAGGCATGCAGGCAGTCCTCGACTTACAGCCATTCATTTAACGACTGTCCAAAGTTACAGTGGCACTGAAAAAAGTGACTTATGACTGCTCCTTGCCCTTACGATTGTCACAGTAGCCAAACAGGTGGCCAAAATTTGGGTGCTTGGCAACTGGCACGAATTGCTGATGACTGCAGCATCCCAGACTCATGTGATCGCCATTTGTGATCTTCCCAGTTGACTTCCAACAAGGGAAGTCCATGGGGAGAGCTGGCAAAAAGGTTGTAAAATTGGGCATAACTTACTCAGCAGCCGCCTTGCTTAGGAACAGACATTCTGCTTTCAGTTGTGGTCATAGGTTAAGGTTTACCCATATAAACTTAACAAATAAATAAAATTTATTTCTAGATTCTTAATGTAATGGTTCAAATGATTTTAAATGATTTAATGGCTCAAACTGCTGTGGCTGTTGCATTGCTCATATGCTGAAATCATTTGAAGATCTCAGAAAGCAAAGGGTTAAGGAAGTCAAATGTTTCCTTCAGCAGCATATGGGTGGGGAGTTGGAAGGGACCTTGGAGGTCATCTAGTCCAACCCCCTGCTCAGGCAGGAAACCCTATACCATTTCGGACAAATGGCTGTCCAGTTTCTTCTTAAAAACTTCCAGTGTTGGAGCATTCACCATTTCTGGAGGCAGGTTGTTCCACTTGTTAATTGTTCTAACTATCAGGAAGTTTCTCCTTAGTTCTAGGTTGCTTCTCTCCTTGATTGGTTTCCATCCATTGCTTCTTGCCCTGCCTTCAGGCGCTTTGGGGAACAGCTTGACTCCCTCTTCTTTGTGGCAGCCCCTGAGATATTGGAACTCTGCTATCATGTCCCCCCTCGTCCTTCTCTTCATTAAACTAGACATACCCAATTCCAGCAGCCTTTCCTTATATGTTTTAGCCTCCAGTCGCCTAATCATCTTTGTTGCTCTTCTCTGTACTCTTTCTAGAGTCTCAACATCTTTTTTATATTGTGGTGACCAAAACTGGAGGCAGTATTCCAAGTGTGGCCTTACCAAGGCATTGTAGAGTGGTATTAATACTTCACGTGATCTTGATTCTATCCCTCTGTTAATGTAGCCTAGCACTATGTTGGCCTTTTTGGCAGCTGCAGCACACGGCTGGCTCATATTTAAGTGATTGTCCACTAGGACTCCAAGGTCCCTCTCACAGTTACTACTATTGAGCAAGGTACCCCATATTCCTAATTTTATATTCTGCCTGGTTTTCAAGTTCATTTCAGTTCAAGTTCTCCGAAAACAAGTATAAGAACATCTTATAGATGACTGCATAGGAGAAAGTTCTCTTGAGTTCAACAGAACTTCAATATATTGGTTGAAACCTTCATGTTACAAGATTCTCTTGAATACTTGGAATTTGGAATGGCAGCAGTGAGGGACATTTTTCAAATTACTATTATAGAGTACTTTCAAAACAAACCAACATACAGGCTTTGAAACATTCCATGAAATTCTTTTTTAAAGAATAGTAATCTTACTAACCCTATCAGAAAATAGTAGAACCTATCTGTTGTTGGATGACCTCAAACATCTAAGCAATATTGAACTGGCCTAATGCATAAATGGGACACCACCCCAAAATCTCAGAGATGTAGGCTAGATAGGGAAGTTGAACATGCATCCCAAAAGAAGGCAAATGACTTCATATTGTGGCTAAGACTGCAACAATATGGACATGTCTGTGTCTAATGATGATGATGATACAGTCACAAAGGAACTGGCCAGTATAGAAACCTAAAACATCAAAACAACAACTATAACCCCAAGACCAAATACAGAAATTAGAATATTGGGAAATTAAATAATTGTAATTGTTTCAACTATCTGTCATCAACCAGACAGGATTACCCCATCCTCTGGACTGCTTTGAAACCAGTTTTTTTTTTTAAATAAACAGCATGGTTGGGGCCAATGAACCTCAGGCCTAGTGGGCATTTCCAAGGGAAGAAAAGGCATGGCTCCAGTATCTCCCAAGAAGGCATTGTTTAGTTGACAGGAGATGAACCACACCTGCCTTGTCAGACTTTGCAGGATGGACAGGGACAATGGGACAAAGACAGTCCCGTAAAGAGCCAGGGACCAAATAAGGAAAGGCTTTATAGATGGAAACCAACAGCTTGAGTTCCACTCAGAAACCAGCTAGCAACCATTGCAGCTCTTGAAGTGGTGGTGTCAGGTGGATATACTGAAGTGCATTCACAATTACTCATGCAGCCACTTTATGGACTAACTATAGTTCCAAGTGTGGCCCGCTATACACTATCCCAGACAAGACACGACTAAAGCATGAGTGACTGTGAGAAGAGCCTTTTGTTTCAGGAAAGGAGGCAGTTCAGTGTTAGAAGAGAGCCCTGGTGGTGCAGTGCAGTATTGCAGCTACTTCTGCTGACTGCCGTCTCCCAGCAGTTTGTCAGTTCGATTCTCACCGGGTCAAGGTTGAGCCAGCCTTCCATCCTTCTCAGGTTGGTAAAATGAGGACCCAGATTGTTGGGGGCAAAATGCTGACTCTGTAAACCACCTAGAGAGGGCTGTAAAGCCCTGTGAAGTGGTATATAAGCCTAAGTGCTAGTGCTATGTATAAATGGAAAAATGTGAAACCGAGAAAACAAAATTGGCAAATTAACCCAAAGGTGCTTTTCAAAGGGCAATTAGACTTTGTTTTTCCTTGAAGATGTTTCTCTTCTCATGCAAGAAGCTATATAAAGTTCTTTTTTTGGGATGAGATGCAAAACGTCTTCAAGGAAAAGCAAAAAAAGTCCAGTTGGTTTTTGAAAAAAACACTTTTGAGACAACTATGACCTGGATGACTGAGAACCTCCACAGACATTTGGTAGATTCACCCGCTCTTCTCTATGCCACTTTCTGAGTTTGGAGCAAATATGAAATACTTGGACTATCCCAATGGTATAAGCACCCCAAGAGGTTGCCGCCTTCTTTGTAATGAGAGCCCATTATTGTCTTCGAACTTCTGAAGGAAATGTTTCAACCTCTACCTCTCCCTTGATTTCCAGGTGCCTGCATCATAATTGCCACAATCTTTTTCAGTAACAAAGTTGGTCAAACCGGCCGATATGGACTGTCTTACAACTTGGCTTCTTCCTCTTTTATTTTTTACTTACAAACTGATAAGGATCTTTTTTGGATACTCTCTTGAGATTTTTTTAAGGTACATCTTTATGCATTCTGCATATTTTGACAACAGTGAAATTTGTT